TGGCTTGTAAGGCTGCCAATTGGTGGGACACTTCGACACCGCAGTCAGCTCAGTGCGTGTCTTGTCGTGTGGAGTGGCTAACTGCGGGCTGAGAGTCAGGCCCAATGGCTCCTTCTTAATGTGACCTTCATGGCGTTCTCATGTGGGAGCCTATCTAGCCGGTGTTCTCGACATTTGTCTTGACATCGGGTTCGGGCGGGGGGAGTGGTCAGAGAGTGGGGTAGATCAAGTGAGTCTGCTTTCACTATAATTCAGTCGCAGTCACCGCGTTGCTTCAGCTTGATGAGGCTCGTGGTGGGCGTTATCGAGAGCAACTGTCGAAATCTGTAGCGGTTCCTGATGACGGTTTCGAGTGAGAAGCCGAAAACTCGTAGGAATACAATGCTTGTTCTGGTGGCCACGTTTGATTCTTCGTTACTTTTTTTTGCAACTCGCCCCTTCGTTTCCATTGAAAACGACATGTTGCTCGTTTGAAGCAGTTTAGATTCACCAGCAAGACGGGAGACTTCATGCACACGAATTTTAATTGCAACTTGAAAGAATCAAGTACGTACAAGTTATAGGCACAAGCAACCTCAGAGGAGGAGGAGGAGGAGGAGGAGGAGGAGGAGGAAAATTGGATCCTAAAGTGATCTCTTTCGTTTTGCTGGCTTTGGGGTACGAAGACTATCACCTAGGATAGGAAAAAGAGGGAGCAACAACTCGAAATAAGTAAACGATAACGTCCTCAAAGGTAAAGGATTAAACTGAAGTAAATGTAGCACTCTGTCTGCACTTGACAAGGGAGGACGCGCATACTGATTTAATTTGCAAATACAGCAGCTGACGCAACTCATTCAACATAAACTGAAATTCGAAAATGTGATGTTGGTAAGAAAGACCTGACGGCTGTTCCGACCTGATGGACAAGTTGCCGCAAAGTACACAGAGCAGGAGTAACGATTTGCTAGGTTAGCCACACAACTGCCTGGCGCGAAATTTCGGTTTTAAAAGGATTACGCAGGTGAAGGCTGTAACAGGAATTGTCAAGTGGCATAAGCCCACAGCATGTCAGTCACACCACGATGCCGGTTTGCGAATGTGTGTTCTGATCGAACGCCAACCGAAATCATACCCGCTGGGTGCTTATTAAGTGGTAGGGATTTCGTTCCGCTGATTTTCGATGTCCTCACAAGTCGAAAAATATATACTAGACAGCAGACAAAGTGCACCGATTCTTGATGTGGTAAACTACGGCTTCTTCTATTTTTCTACTCAGAGAATGGGTATTCTTTTGTTAAAAAAGAGTTCTTAGTTAGGAGGCTTTGTAAGACCGTAAATGTCTGCTTATTAACGCTTCTAATGGAGCCTCTGGTGGGGTTAATATCCATTGTGAAATTCTTGAGCTCTATATGGTATCCTCATAGCAACATAGCTGACTATGACATGTTTGGTAAATAAGCTTGCTATTTGAAAACCCTACACGCAAGCATAACATCATATCAGGCTCAAAATTAATGGATAAAACCGTTTCATGAAGGAGAAAATTTGACGCAGACGTAATATTCTATAACACGAGGGCAAATGGGATGATTTTGTGCAGGGTTCCTATAAAATATGCTTAAATACATAACGGCATCGAAAATCGGTGAAGGAATACATACTACTTAAATTGTCTGTTTTTAGTAGTTAGAAAGATGCGCATTCGCAAAAACCGACATCCTGGCGCTACTGAAATAGCCTGCGGATCGGGCTGAATGATAGTCTATATTACAACTAAGCCAAAGTAAACGTATGCAAGGAAAACCACACTTGACTAAAATTTTATTAATGTTATTTCACGAGAATCGCCGCCTACTGTGGGTGAAATGTTAACCGAAAATTTAAAAATGTGTTTTCTATTAGAAAAGATGACGTCGGTAGGATTTTAATATTAATTATCATTGGGCAGAATACCCCAGATATTTATTCATGTCAGGATGCCAGGTTTTAAACATGTAACCGCCTCCAAAAATTGCACAATTAAGAAATTGATACTTAATTATGATGCACTTTCACTGCGGATTTTAGATGCCCTTACACATTCAAATATATTTTTTTAAATTGAAGTGGAACATAAAAATATTCTGCTTTACGACCATTTAGTAGTCAATCAGGTCTTAAAACGCTATACTCGAACAAAGGCATACTCAATTTTTAAAAGGTTTCTCAGTATGATATTCGTGAAGACCGTGAAATGGCTATTCGGCAAGCCTCGTGTCCATAGACATGTTACTGCTACTTGTAAAAGTCTACAACACGGTCTACAAACATTGTAAAGTTTTATGCGCACTTTATGACAGATTCTGCAAGAAATGTTTGACTTTTCTTAAACGGAAATTACAAAGCTTGTAGGCTGGAAATCCTGAATGCCATTGTAGCAGCAGGTTGGCTACTGAAAAGCTAACAGTGCTTTTCTTTAAGCATAAATCTGAAAGAAAAAGAGGTAATTTGCCATCAAGTGAATACAAGAAAGAATATTGTTGTGTGCGTTTTCCAAAAAAGATATTTTAATTTTTGTTAAAAACCCGTGAAGGATTTTAATACTATATAATTAGTCGCTTTTTATTGAATGTTTTTTTATGCGGGCGGCTGAGAAAATGCGCATTCAAAAGCCGACATACGGATTTGCCTGGTGATAATGCTTAAACGTCGGTAGTTGTAAAATCCTGCTTAAGCCATCTCCTCCGAGCAAAAACACAGAATTCCTGTTAACATTTCATGAGATCTAGCAAATGCGCTGTAGATATACAAACATACCTTGGGAGTGCCGCTTGTAGGAGGCAAGCAACTTGCGCTGTTTCTGTTTGCCGGAAGCAGCCTCTTCCTTCGGTTTTGTAGGCAGAGAGCTGGGGGCGGCGGAAGGATCGTTGTTGAGGAGGGCTGTGAGGTGCGGATTGAAGCCATTGTAGCTGGCTCGAAGATAGACACTCGCGGGACGTCCACAGTCAGCCGTGTGTCGAACAACAGGGCTGCACAAAAAAGCATTAACAATATAAGCTCAAGCAGTCGATGAGGAAAGCAAAAACAGTCGGATACTACCGAGTTCGGATGAAATCCGCAATCGCATCTTCTCCTTTTCAACTGTCAAAAATTTGAAACCGGGGTGTTCATCGGATCTA